CAAATGATAGATAAAGACATGCATCTATATAAAAAAAAAAATTGTACTGATTTGCTCATTTAATAAAGTTTAAGAGTTAACAAAGTTATAAGTTTTATATACTGTACTACAAGGAACTTTCATCAGAAACAAAAATATAATATTCTAAATCAACATTTCGCGATATTTTCAAATGTGCAATTAGACAATTTCTATCACTTTTAAGTTTTAATATTATTAAAAAAATAGTATTTACATATAAAAAAACGGTAGCACAGTGGGGTCGCGGCATATTGGAGACATTACATAGTTAGGTCCAGTATAGATTTAATCTGAAAGTGATTAAAATCACTATCATAAGAAACGCTTCGATGCAAATCNTAATACTAATTTTGATTATTAATATGTTAAAAATAAGGAAAATGACATATTTAACCTATTTTTTTAATAGTTTAAAATTGATTGTTGTAAATGTTTAAAATAAAAAAAAATAATTTATTTTACTATAACTTTTAGCTCAATTCGCAAGTTTGACATTGTCATCATTAAATAGAAAATTTTATGACAATTAAAAAAATTGTATCATTAAGATTGTTTATAATATTTTAGATTGTTTAATATGAAAAAATACATATTATGCAGTCAGAAAGTTTTATAATAACTATTTACTGTAAATTTATCAGAAAAGCTCAATATTATTTTGCATTTTTATGGTAATAGATAACTTAAATAGATGTAATTTTTTTTTTCAAATTAAAGTATATTACATTATCTTTAATTTAAGATATATATATTAGTGTCAGACCTTCCGGAACACTTTCAAAAGTTAAGTTGAAAAAGTTCTACTTTCTATATGCATTTTTTAGATTTGAAGGCCCCCCCGTAAATAGGGAAATGGTCTGATATAAAAAAAAGTATGTCGAATGAAAGAGGTATATAAATATTATTTAAAAAAAAAATTGTATTATTCCATACATTTTTTAAAAAGTTATAGCATTTTAAGTAAAAAATGTAAAATACAAAATCGAGAATTTTCACACAAAAATAGCATTCGGTAGCCATTTTCACCGTGAAGATAAAATAAAGTCCGAAATTTTTTTTTTGCATAATAAAGAACATTACATTAGTTTTAATTTAAGATATATATATGACCTTCCGGAACATTTTCAAAAGTTAAGTTGAAAAAGTTAATTTTTTGTGAAAAAGTTGTCATTTTAAATCCCCCCCTGTGGGCAGATAAAAGGTCGAATTTACAAAAAAAATATACCAAATGATAAGTAAAGACATCAAGCATCTATATAAAAAAAAATTATATTGATATGTTCATTTTTGAAAAAGTTAGAGCATTATTAAGTTAAAAATATAAAAAAAAATTATTTTACAAAAATCGTAATTTTTTATTAACTTTGATGTCAACTTTCACCACGAAGACAAGTCCAGAGGTCAAATTTTTTTTTTTCAAATTAAAGTATATTACATTAGCTTTAATTTAAGATATATATAAAAGTGTCAGACCTTCCGGAACATTTTCAAAAGTTAAGTTGAAAAAGTTAATTTTTTGTGAAAAAGTTGTCATTTTAAATCCCCCCCTGTGAGCAGATAAAGGATTAAATTTATAAAAAATATCAACCATATGATAAGTAAAGACATCAATCATCAATTAAAAAAAAAATTATATTGATATGTTCATTTTTGAAAAAGTTACGGTAGTTTTAATAAAAAAAAAATTCGAAAATTAACGATTTTTAAATTTGTAATTTTTTTGGAGGTTTCCCTCATTTACGGAGAATGAGGGAAATTTTTTCAATTTTTAAGGGTAACGTCTTCGACTAGAAACGATTTGTGATCTTTTGACTTACCGTTGAATGTGATCCGTTTGGTGAGAGCTGAGAAAAAGTGGTAACAAACACAAAAAGTAAAAAAATAAAACACATCATAGTAAAACCAATACCTTTTCAGCTTCGCATCGAAGCTAAAAGTAGAAATCATCTTTTTCATTTTCATCCTTGTCCTCTGTAGGAGTATGTAAATTGTCGGTGATAAAGCCGATTTGGCGGTAACAGGGTCGTTAATATCGGCCAAATGAAGACTGCTCTCTCCTTCGCAACGCGTAATGTTCCGTGAATGCTGAAAATCGTAAACCTAAGAAAACACCGAGTAGTAAAATAAATTTTATTATTATTAAAAAGCTATCAAATGAATGGAACAAAAAACTAATCGATTCAACAATAAAATCGACTAGTCAGAAACGATTTTTTAAAAATTTTAAAATTGTAAAAATTTTTAAATTTTTAAATTTTGTTCGCTCTATATTATTAATTCTAATTCATTCAATTTATTTAAATTAGAAATTGTATATAAAGTGAATACATTTTTTTGTAAGAGATAATCTAAAAAATGTTATACTAATTGAATTAACTAAAATTGTAAGGGTCTAGCATTAAGGTTCATTATTATAAATTACTGCCTATATAGACAATATTATTAATAATAATTAATTACCATAGAAACTTTTAATTTCCTCATTGTTGTTTATAAAAAACTGTACAATAATACACAGACATCAATATTCATTTTGTAAAGTGGTATAAATCAGTTAACAAGTCTTACAATTAATATTTTATGAAGATAATGCAATTGAAGAAGATATTTTACAAGAACTTACGAAAATGTACGCAATTTTTTAATAAAAAGAAAGGTACGCCAGGTAAGCTATATTTGAAATTTATTTACAGGGAGAGATTACGGGTGATAAGATTACCAATTTTCAAATCAGTTATATGAATCTAATTTGCGTTGAATACAGATACACTTATTTTGATTTTTTCCCTCATGTCCCCTTTAAATACAGTAGAAGATTTTGAATTAGCTAATTGTTTGTAATTTTTTTTTCCATCATATTATAAAGTTAAAAATAAGGGTTCCCATTTAAGAAAATTATAAATAACGGTTTTTATCCTTGAAGGGATGAAAAAAATAATGGTTTGACTACATATTATTGTAGAGTTTTTTGAACTTGATATTTTTTCTCTATAATAAAATAAAAAATTCTCAATATTTTCTGAGAAAATGAGTGTCTTATCAGATATTGATCACTCTGTATAATGTGCTTTTGTAGAGGTAATTAAATTAAAATGATTTTAGATGAAATTAGAACTCTAGAGTAATATTACTCTGATGTGAACATTGGTTATCATCAATGGCGGCCCGTAGCAAATTACTCAGGGAAACTGAAAATTTTAACTTTTAAACCTACTAAAACAAAAACATCAAACAAGTAAAACCTTATATATATTTACAATGCAAATTACATTTTCTTATATAATAATTCTATTTGCGATTTTTTTTCCCGGAAATTCATCTATAACACTCCATAAAAGTTAGATCCTTATCTATCTCGCCAACTAAATTTTTTTCAATTGCCGTAGATGATAAACTCGAAAGCCGTTCATTGGTCATAGTGTTTCTCAGGAAGGTCTTAATACGTTTCAATGTACTCATAGAACGTTTACTAGAAGCAGCCGTAGCTGAAATGGTTAACACTAACTGACAAAGTTTAGTAACTTGAGGATATATATTTTCTTGTAAGTCATCTGTAAATTTCAAAAGAAAAATACACGAAAGATAATGTTATTTAATAAATGTTATCAATTACTTTTTATTATAAAATCTAGAAGTTCGTGACGAGGTAAATGTTTTGTATCATCCGCATAAATTACAGCCCATTCATTACGTAAACGGTCAGCGTCAAAAATATTAGGACTCTGCTGCAATAATTCCATGTACTTTGATTCGGGGAAATTGGTGTGGTAGTTTTTAAACTTCTATTCATTTGTAATTTCAACAAATTCTAGTTTCGAATAATCTTCAAATTGTAAGTCAATTTGCGCGATTAATGAATCCAGTATTTCGTATGTGATTTGACGTAATTCATTACGAGAAATGACATGTTTTTCTGATTTTCTTAAAAAATTTCTTATAGACGACACTCCGTCAACACTCCATTCCTTTTCTCCTACAAAAATTACACAAGTATAACAAAACAATTTGTTTCTTTTGTCGCAATCATCTAACCACGAAAACTCATTATACCAATTGTATTTGAATTTTCTGGTATATTTACCATCCACGAATGTCAACAAAAGGTTCAGTGTCGGACAACAACGTTTTAATTCATATTTTTGTTCAAAACTAAATTTGTTAAAGTTGTTTAATAATAAAAAGCCTAATATATTATTGTTTTTCATTTTTACCGTGGTGTGGGGTGACAACAAACTGCAACGATTTAACGCGCGGTGTACTATTTTTGAATGAAGTTAATTTCAATACAGTCTATATTAATGCCTATGGAGTTCAATCTCCCCGACCTTCTCCACCAAATCAAATATTAGATGTTTTGATTGAAACGGTAGTCGACCATCGTCAGGTGATAGGCGTACTATTTTTAATTTTTGTGAAATTCGTTTCAATAGCGTCTATAAAACACGGCTTATTCGGCATTCCTCCGACCCTCTTCTCTAATTTCAAAGATAACATCATTTATTACGGTTGAAATTGTTGTCGACCGTCGTTGATCGCTGAGACGTACTATTATTAAATTTTAAAGAAACTTGTTTCAGTACCGTCTAAAATACACGGTTTACTCTTCCCCCGACACCCACCTTTAAATTCACCAAGCTGATAACACTACATTATAGGAATAAAACGAACGGTCGACTGTTGCCGGTTCAATGGAAACCGCCTCGGCCTAATGACTAATTCCATAACAAAACCATCCAAATAACTGTTAAAAAAACTAAAAAATATATCGGTATACTTTGTGGTTCAAGAAAATGTCCATATTATTTATTATTATTGATATATAATAATTTATTAGTAACTAAAGATTTTTAAGGAGAAACTCAGTTTCAAAGTCTCTTATGACGGGCCGCTACTGGTTATCAGTAACACAATCTTATCACTAGGTAGTTTTATCACTGAATAGACTAAATTTAATCTATTCTGTGGTTTTATCACAAAATACTTAGTGGATATTCACCTTGTCAGACTTATTTATCCACCTATTTTATTGATTTTATACAATTTTATTTTTATTTTTACTTTTAGAAATAAAAATGTTACTTTTATAATTTTAATCTAAATGCAATACTATCCAAATTAATTGTTAGTAAAATGTCAGCTTATAATTTTAGTGGTCCTGCTGAGATATTGAGAGCTGAACAAAAAGACGAAGAACTATGTGAGAGAATTAATAGACATATTACTGATTTTTTATTAAAATATAAAGGTTGTAATAATTGAATTTAAATACAAATTATTAAACTTTATTCAATGAAATAATTATTATAGGACATATTTATATCAATAAAAACAAAAATTCTATACTTTCTACATCAAAAATTTTGTATTATGGACTCACAACTTTATCAAGACTCCAAACTTTAGGTGAAGAATATACAAGAATTATTCAAGTTAGAAGTTCTGGAAAACATGTTCCGAGTGTTACAGTAATTTATATTCAGTATTTTAACTAGTAGCCACAAGAAATATAAGTCCCAGTATCTACATATAATGGATATGTACTATAATAAACCACTAGTGAGGGGGTACTATTCATATACGGGTTACCAGCTTAATAGTTGTGGTACTAGCTTATACCATTAATTTATATATATATATCAATTACTCATTAATTATTTCAAGTTTTCTAAATTAAATATTTGTGTTTATTGTAGCAAACTATTGGTATGATATCAGTTCATATATTTGGTCATCAAATATTAGAATATTTATTAAGTTACACTATAAAATATGTAAGAAAAAATGAACATATAACACACACAGCTAAAAGTCAAATACTTTATTCTTTAAATGTATTTAAATCTATTCTACCTCTTATACAAAGTTTAAATAGAATATTATTCTATTGGAATTCTAATTTCTATACATGGGCTAAAAGGATTTTTAATATCCGATATGTAAGTACAAAAATGTAGTTATAAAATTAGATTTATTGATTTATTTATTGTAAATTAATAAATTAATAACATAAAAAAAATTTTTATACAATTTTTTTAATATAATTGTTTTACAATAATTTGAAACGTTTTACATGACCATCTAAAGAGCCTCTCCATTATTAAAGTAAACTTCTTTACAGAGGGTTGAAAAAAAAATGATAATCGAGAAATACAGTCGACTGTAAAATTTATTTACATTATAATTTAGCACTGTCTTTTCGAAAATAAAAATAGTTTTATTTAAAATTCATTATATAATTTAATTTCAAATAATTATGATGGTACATAAAAAAATTTAAAAAAACCACAATAGATGCAATTTTTACACAATATCTTCATAATGAAGATCATTCATTATCTGTTCATAATAAAACAGAAAAAATATGAAAGATACAAATTCTATGAATTTTAATGAGTTTAAATAAATTAACAAAGAATCATTTAGTGATATGATATGATATGGTTACTAATCTTTTTAAATTTTCTATAAGGTTCATATGAATAATGTAAGAAACAAAATATAATAAAATAAGAAAGCTATAATAAGAAGTTTGAAATATACAATGTAAAAGTATTATCGTGAACCATAAAATAAAAATAATTAAGAAAACAATTATTTTTGTTCTATAGTAATATGTTTATCATAATTATCAATTATTAAATATAACATGTAACCAATAATAATAATAAAACCGGTGCGTGTTACAAGTGCGTGCAGATGAAGATTTCTTTTTTTAAGATTCTTATCATTAAAACTTGAAACTTTTAAATAAATACATTTTATCAAATACTTTTGAATTAAGCAGTTAAAATTAGCTAAATTATACTGTTACTTTTGACCTTATCATTTCATTATGATTATGTAATTAATAAATAATGTAATCACAACAAAACGAAATAAAAAATATTTGCACAAAATAATTAACTTAATTTTAATAGTGACCTTTTCTTGCTAATTGGTACAATTTATTAGTAAAAATATCATTATCATATTTTTTTTAGATTTTCGCTGTTCCATGGTATCATTCTGAAAAACAACTTCATGTTTTCAAAATACTTAGTATACTTTCAGCTATACATGTTGGTGTACTAATTATTATAACTTTGTTTAATAATAAACAAGTCCTATCACAAAGTGAAGGAAACTTAACACCAACAACTACATCGTCAATATCTAAATGTTCACTCTGTTTGGAAAAAAGAACTAACACTTCATTAACTGTTTGTGGTCATCTGTTTTGCTGGAATTGCATACATGAATGGTTACAAACTAATAAATTTTGCCCTTTGTGTCGCAAAGTACTTGATCCAAGGAAAATAATACCATTGCAAAATTATACTTAAGTAATATTTTAAATATTTATGCATTCATGTGTTTTACTATTTATTCTACATTCTTCTTTTCCTTAACTAAATGCCAATAATAGATATCTTAACTGAGTCAGCTACCTTAACCATCTTTAATAAATTTCTCTTCAAATCTGGATTTATTTTTCTTCTTCCAAATTAATTTTGAAAAAACTCTTGCCTTTTTATCTCATTCCTTAAAACATGATTTGACCATCTTTGTCTAATTTCTATATCACATGATGATTTAAATTATTTTTTTTAATAAATTGATATGTTTAAACTTAAAGGGTGTCTTTAGTCTTTTGGAATGTTTAGAGTTTAACTCCATAAGGAAAATTTAAAACTTGGCTTTGAAAATTATGACAGTTGGGATGGTAAAATATATATTTGATGTAACAAACGAATTAAACATCAGTTAAATTAACTAAAATTTAATTAAACAAATAGCTTATTTTGAAATTTAGTATTGATATTTATATGTTATATGTCTATTGTTATATTTATATACATTTTTATTTAAAAAAATTATTATTAAAAAATATGTTTTACACTTTTATTGATTAAAGCTTGTTTTTTTTAAATTGGTGGTGTTCATCTATTATATACAGAGTGTTCAGTAAGTTAGGAAACAGTTAAATTGTTACAAACAATGAGTACAATAGAAATTCGTTTCCTTATTTACTGAACACCCTGTATGACAAAATACATTTTTTTCTCATAAAGATAAAACAAATTTTTTTTAATATTTTAATCATTTTAATACTAAAATTATGAAAAAATAATTATCTGAATAGAATTCATTACTTGGTACAACTAATCAGTATTGAATTAAACTATAAAATCAAAATCTATAAAATAGTGTACTACATTTTTAATCTTTTTTTTTTTTTGAGTATGCTTAAAATCATTCTTATGATGCTATATTGATATTTTGTTATAACAATTATCGCAATGAATAATATTGCATAAAAAAAATTGATTTATCATCATTCAACATTTTTTTTTGCCCTTAAGACGTCAATATTAAATCTATGGTATTTTCATCATAATTCATTTTTAATAATAGCTAACTATGCCATTGACTATTGATTTCCCCTATCTACGATTTTCAATCTAAAAACACTAATTTACATTTAAAAAGATCGTAAATATTCCTAATAAAAACAGCACAAAAAAAGTGCAAATAAATGTTCATTGAGTGCTACTAATATTGCTTTTAATATTTAAAAATAAATGTTTAAAATAAATAATTTTAATGAAATAACGAGTATTTCAAATAAAATCAGTGTTTGGAAATAACGTTATTTATGAACGCACGTTCATATTTGATGAGAGTTATTTGTTATTTATAAATAAATATGAAAGTGAATGACGTTTACATTTTGTGATAAATTTTAAAGATATAATTGGTGGTTAAACAATCAACACTAATATCATAGACTATATAAAAATTATATTTTTAAATAATATGAAAATATAATCATTTATAGTATGTACTTTCAGAATCAAATATTGATCTAATTACTAGAATATACAAAAATATTAGGATGGATAGAAAAACAGTAATAATATATTGTTGAAGAAGACACTATTAATTTTTATAAGTACGAATCACTGGCTGTTAAAATTATTTGGATTACTATTAAAATTTACATAGTTCGTTTTTGTTATCGATATATCAGTATTAATAGTAGCACGCTTTCAGGGGTTCATAGAGTCTTAACCCTCTTGAGAAATTTTCTGACTACATAAAAATAATGAGGCTAAAATTTTAGAGTTTTGTTGAGAATAAAAAATATCTATTTAACATTTCATTAAAAAAAAAAACTAGCACAGTGGGGTCGCGGTATAGAGAGACGTGGCATAATTGGGTCAAGTATAATGATATCTGGCAGTGATTAAAATAACTATCATAAAAAACGCTTCCATACAAATCTATAGATAGTGTTTAATTTAAAAAAATTGAGAGAATTCCCCCATTTACAGGAACGAGGGAATTTTTTTCAATTTTTGAGGGTAATGTCTTCGATTAAACACTATTTGTGATCCTTTGACGTATTGTTGAAAGATCGGTTCGGTGAGAAATGAGAAAATGTAATAAGAGACACAAAAAAAAAATAAATAAATAAAAAAAAAACGCATCATAGTAAAATTAATACCTTCTCAGCTTCGCATCGAAGCTAAAATTGGTTGCTAAAATGATAACAATCAAAATAACTAAAAAAAATAAAAGCAACTCTAAGAATATTTTTGTAAAAAAAATTCTTTTTTTATGTTATTTATATTGTTATGTAATATTACTATGTAGCTATTATAAACAGTTTTTAATAAAAAATAATATTGCTAAATTTATAAAATATATTTAATATTAAATGAAATGTTTACAACATTAATATTTTTAAAATAATGTTTGGGAATTTAGAGAGCATATTGTACTCATTAAATACTAATTTACCTACTGCAGAATAAATTATCTTGTTGTCTTTATAATAATTAACAATTCAAAATTAAGAAATACTTATCATATAATGTATATTTATAGGTTAACAAATAGGTGTTTTCATTTACAAATCGCCATTTCTATGGCAAAACTTTATATATTAATTTGTTTTAATTATTCATAGAGAAAAAAGAATACATCAATTTTTTATAACTAACAATAGAAATAAGTTTTTGAATATCCCATTATCTAAGAAAAAATGGATATTTTTTTTAAAAAAACGCTGAAAATATTTGTCAATATTGTAAATAAGAATTTTTTTCAAAAAAAGTTTTAAAATGTTGAGTTACGCCATTTCACCTAAAAGACGTTTATGTATTTTTATTTTTCATATACATTTTTTAATAGGTAAAACTTAAATAAATTAATCAAGTTTTGCACCCATACGTCTCAATGCTAAAATTGTGTTTGCTGCTCTGACCCACTGCTTTTTAATAACGTAACGCTTCAATTTTGTTTTGCTCAATGTTTTCGTCTGGCCTGCTGTTTTCAACCATTTGTGGCTGAGAGCATCATTTGCACTAAGTCGCGCTCTGTAATAAAAATTACAAATAACTATTTTAATTAATATTATACTCAAGTCGGATTTTTAGGTTCCTCAAAAATACACAAAAAAGCTCTCCATAAGTAAATTAATCATTTCTAAAAATTTGTTATTAACATCAGAAGTTATAAAAATAATGATTGGTTTTAAATCCTTCTATTTCCCGAATTCAACATGCTACAAAGGTTTGTGGCCCTCTTTTACATGTAAGAGAGTCAAAGAGTAACTAAGCCAATAATAGACGGGACGAGTATTGTGGCCAGCTTCTACCAGCAATAAGACACTATCAATGAGAAAATCTGGCTGGCACCCTGGCTATTGGAACCCTAGACCTACTGCGCCAAAATGTACGTTTCTATTAATCATGGGAAATATCGAATAGTAACTATCCAACTATTCGATATTCATTCAAAAACTATTCGAATAATAAAAATATTCAATAGTTACACAATATATTCGAATATTTTTCAAACTATTCAATAGTCTATGCTAAAAATAAACTATTCGGTTGTATAAAAACAATTCGAATAGTTATTCGATAGTTTAAAATATTCGAAAATGTCCATTACTAAACTAAATAGAAACTCTATTTACTAGTCCTTGTTATTAACATCATGAGTAAAATGTAAAAAAAAAATTTCAATTTTTTTACTCAAATATGATCTTAATACACTAATAAAGTAAAATAAAAAAATTTTTTATATCCAAATTTATTTTATTTAACTGAACGCTAATGTAATTTTAGTCATTGTTGTTTTAGGAGGTACACTACGGCCTGGGCTGAAGAGGTCGTAATCCAGACTAATGAGGCTCTTAGTTTGAAATTCTTTTTGTAATCTTTATTACATTTACACTTCAATTGAGTGGGGTAGTAAAAATCACTCTCAAATAATATCCTCCATCTTAGTAATGAGAAAAATATTTGGAGGCTAAGATAGTTTCCTTATTTTATATGATATATATATATATATAATTTTCAACACTTTTGGAAGGATTAATTTTATTTTTGGCGAGGCTTAGCTCTCCTAAAGCTCACCCCTAACTTCATTTATACTGTCTACTCATAAAAAAATTTTAAGTACATCGAAAATATATACATCAAGGTGTCCTTGTTTTTTATATTAACAAAATTAACAAAATAATCGTTAATTTAATAAAAAGTATATAATTCATTTAATAAAATATTTGATTGGAGGTATTTTGATAATACATTAATTGATTTTAGCGGGAAATTCCCCTGAAACTAGTTTAGCTACATTGTGGTCCATTATCAACTTTTAGTGAAAATTTTACCCGAACTAAAATCCTGCATACGCTACTGCGTCTAACTTAGAGTTGATCTTGTCAACTAGGTGGCCTACTTAGCTCAGTAGTCAAGGCATCGTGCCCATTGCAAAGATACTGTTAAGTTTCGATTCCGTTGCGCTAACCTATCCTAATTTTTCCTGTTTTCTCTGGCACGTGCAATAGCTTTTAGAGAGGAGGTTAATCAATAAACTACAGTTGATAGAAGAATGAAATGTAACAATTGTTGTCCATCTTCTTTCTAGTTTTGTTTAAAAACCAATAAGACTCACTATTGCAACAAAATCTATACTTATAAAATTAGCGTTGTCTTTTGGTACAATAGTGTCGCATGAACCCGGCAACTCGGCAGATTTATAACTTTTTATAATTTTTCTGTAAAAATTACAATATTAAACTATTGAATATCAAATAATAAAATTTAACTTCTATATGTATTTATTCATGTAATAAATATATTTCACTAATAAAATTATAGGGAAAGTTATTCATCTTGATATTATACGAGATTATTTGACGTATTGATTGTTAATATAATTCAGTAGAATTTTAATTACTAATGAGACAGACACAAAAAAAATAAATCTTGATAAAAATAAATACCTTTGTAGCTTAAAAGTGAAGCTAAAATTTGTCCATAGTCGACAAAAAGGTAGCCAAAATGTCATTATAAAGAGTTCAAAAAAGACAATTTTTACAGCTACTCAATATTTTAAACCTAATTTAATATCTAAAAGTTACACTTAACATTTTTTAAGGAGGCCCATTAACCTCACTTGGAGGTTAATGTCTTTTATAAATGTCAAGTCGATAAACAAATATAATGTAATCAATGTAGTAATAGTTCCTATAAAAGAATAAATAGACATAAATAAATTAAAAACTTTTAACTATAATAACGCTGTATAATGTCCAAAACTTAAACACATAACATATGTTTCAATTCATAAACATAAACATATCTTTTGATACATTTAATTACAGAAAAAAATCTGAAGACAAAAACTAATAAAAAAAATACATATTAAATTTATTATTCTATTGACGTGTAATCAAATAGCTTTAATAAGGCCATTTATATAAAAATTTGAGCAACAAAAAGATGAATAACTGACAACATAAAAGTTATGATTAAAATAATAGTGATTAATTTGCGGTTGTTCGATACAGAGTACTTTGATTTCTGCTCAAACAGTAACATATTTTTGATAAATAAAAGTCTTAATTTACGTAAATATATCGAATTCAGAATTCTTTTTTCCATTGCCATAAAAAAATCTTAAAAACATATCCTTGGTCGATTCTCGCTCAGGCGACGTTCGATTGCTGTGGGGCGCTGAACGGCATGCTGCAGTCACGTAATAAAGCAGACTCCCGACAGGTGGCGGCGCCCCAAATGGAACATCTCGGCTCATGTTTGATAACTTAAACTTGGGTTTGCGGTCCATATTAAAAGCAAGCTGCTGTCGTCGAGTCAACAGCATTTTGTGTAAGTTGTCGGAGGTATTCAGTAAATCGTCATCCGAGTCTCTTGAGAACATCACAAAGTCGCGGAAAAGCTCAGATGAGTTGTTGTTGGTTGTAGTTGTACTTGAAAACATGTAAGACACGTCCGATGATCGACGATTTATCGTAGTTGAACTATGTGTCCATGATGTGAATTTTTTGTTTGCAATATTTTTCGTTGATACATCCATAAATGATGACATAAAATCGTCCTCTGTGCGTTTATGACTTGATAATTTATTTTCAACAATAACATCGGTAATTACAGATTTTGTGGAGGATTGTTTATCAACCGGCGATTTTTCTTTTTGCGAACGGTCGGAGGGTTTTTTACTATCACGTCGTTTTAATAGGAGATTGAACTCTACGGTTTGATCAGGTGAGTTTTCTTTAGGAAGAATAGTATTCAAATTAGCCTCGGAATTTTTCACATCACATGTATGACTAGAAACCGACTCTTTGATTTTTTCAGATAGTTCGATATTTTTGATAGCAGCTAGAGAAGTACTAGTTGTTTGTTGATTGTCTGACAAATTATTTCTTGGTAATAAAATACAATCAACTACAGAACTAGATGAGCTGCTCAAATCTTCTACGCAACTATCAACGGGATGAACTTTATCTATGATATTAGTACACGGTACAATCACTTTTTCACAATAGATGCTACCATCCACAATAGGCGAACTCGATTTCGTCGTTATTACATGCTGCTTTTGAACAGTGGTATCTACTGTGGATATTTCTGAAGATGATAGTATCTCAGAAGATTGGGCTAGTTTGATCTCAGCTAAATCTTTAGTTTCTAATACATCAGCTGGCGAATTATTACTAGATTTGCGTTCACAAAATTCTTTTAGATTTTCTTTTGTTAAATCTAATGATGAATCTTGATGAGCAAGCAAACTTGAAGGTTGTATCTCTTGATCAACTTTGGGTTCTAGTTGTGTAAGTTTTTTTTTAGACACGCTCTTTCGCACGCTCTTTCGCACAGTTTTTTTCACTTTTTTCTTGTGAAGCCAATTATGTGACAAACATTCAGCCGCGGTCATACGATCCCTACAATCAATTACACATAACAAAACACAATAATACAGTGTTAGATATTATTAAACTACCCGAAAAATTAAGTATATTAGAACAATAAATTTATAAAAATCACTGATAATAATTCATTTATGATACATTTTAATTACATTTTTTAATTTAAACACAAAAGTAATATAATTTTATTTCACTTGAAACGAATGGTAACAGAAATTGGTCTTTTGTAAAAAAAGATTATCGTTTAAATTTACCAATATTAATAGAAAAGATACGCCAAATTAGGAACTATATTTCAGTGATCGTAAATTCTTCATTAGCCAATCGATGATTATAATGGAAATTTCTTTTGGGTAATACACATTGTGTAAAAGCAGACTAGTTTATTCAAAAATAAATAAAATGACAGTCACTTAAATATTACAAATATAGTAAGAATTTACTGATTTTGTAGCATCGATGCCAGAGTAAGAAAGTATTGATTTTGTGATGATATGCATTTTATTTTTTTAATCTATCAATTCTCAGTTCTCATTAGACCGATTTTAATGATCAATACGTCAAAAGAACCCAATTTTATTTAGTTAAACTTATTGCCATCAAAAATTGAATAAAAAACCCCTAATTTAAACCCCAACTATCAAAAAGACAAATTCAGTCATTTTTTTACATTATAAAATTGCTATAACATTTTTTATAAAGACATTGATCCTAATAAAATAAGGTAAACTAGAGATAATATCATTTTTTTTTTTTTGTATGATTTTTGTGAAAATTCAATAAAATAATTAAGTACAAAAAGGGTTTGAAAAATAATGTTTTTCAACAATTTTTGTTCTGGAACGACTGCGTTGTTTAAACCAATATTAAATTAAAACTTTTGCAATTGAACTACAGTATTAAAAAATAAATTTGTTTAATGATATGTCTTCTACTAGAAAATAGCCGTTAAAATTTAAAAAAAAAACTTAATTTTCGATTAAGTAAATAATTTAAAAACATTTAATATTTCAGTAAAATTTCAAAAAAAAAAATGAAGAAAAAAAGAAATGTTAAAATGACAAATGCATAAATTATTGTGAAATTAAACAAATTCGTATCGAACTATTTTTTATTACAGTGATGTTTATATTTGTTAAATAGCATCTATACTTATCCTAACTATACCACAACTCCGCTGTGTTAAGTTTTTTAAAATTATAACTCCTTCCGAAATTCCTTTTTAAACCTATTGTTTATTAAGATGTAATAATATTTTTCAACATTGTTAAGACTATCTAATTACATTATCTGTGATTTCATTTGTATTGTACAACCAATATACTTGAATTCAAAAAGAAATGTGTCCATAAAAAAGAAGCTATTCCAACATTTTTTGAAAAAACTTGAGAAAATATAGGTGGAAGCTAAGAGGAATAAACCAAAATTAAGAAAATTACATTTATTGTTTCATAAAAAAAAAAACGGTAGCACAGTGGGGTCACGGCACAGTATGGACGTGACATAGTTGGGACAAGTATAGATGATATCTGACAGTAATTAAAACCAATATCATAAAAAACGCTTCGATGCAAATCTGTAGATAGTGTTTAATTTTAAGAAATTGGTGGATTATTACAAAAGCAACATCAATTCTTATTTCCATAATTATATCCTGATTAGTAGTTCTTTGATTTTAAAATATAATATATGAATAAATACTAATTATAGTTATTAAATTTAGTATGAAATTGTTATTCAATAATTTAATATTGTAATTTTTACGGAGATATTATAAAAATAATAAAGTAGTAGTATAATTCTTTACTTTTAATACATAAAAAAATTCAAAGAGCTTGATACAATATTTTCCAATGAAAAATGTTTGTTACTTATAATAAAGTTATAACTTTTGTGATATTTGATCTTTATTGAAGTTATTGAATCTAAATGAGATAAAAATCAAAGGAGTTAAAATTTATTCTAACTTATAAAGCATCAAGAAAAAAATGCATAAAATTCCTTGTCATACGCGGGTTGGAAATTTGTACCCCAAGCGCGTAAGACACAAGTTTTACCGACTCGGTAACCGTACGTCTTTTCCGACGATTGAAAAAATGGCAATTTAAGCTAGTTCAAATTTCAAAATTATTTTTCTCGACTTAAAAAAAGCAAAAAAATTTAAATAAGTTTAACTTTCTATACTATATCAATTTGATTTATATAATATTTATGAAAATCAGTGTACTCCCCTTGTCAGGTATTTTAAATTAAAATAAAATACAAAAACCAGAATTTTAACACAAAAATAGCCTATTTTTGAATACGGTAGTCATTTTCACCATGAAGACAAATCTAGAGGTCAATTTTTTTTTTTTTAATTTAAGTATATTACATAAGCTTTAATTTAATATATATAAGTGTCAGTATTTCTGGAACACTTTCAAAAATTAAATTGATAATGTACTAGTTTCAATACGCATGTTTAAAGTTTTGACCCCCCTAGTATAAAGGGGTATGATCTGATTTACAAAAAAAGTGTGTCAGATAAAAAGGGTATATAAAAATTATTTATTGAAAAATAATAATATTGATCCATACATTTTTCCAATGGTTATAGCAATATAAATTTTAAAATATAAAATCGAGAATTTTTTCACGAAAATCGTACGTTTTTCTTTAAATTTGATGTCCGTTTTCACCATGAAGACAAATCTAGAGGTCAAATTTTTTTTTCAAATTAAAGTATATTACATAAGTTTTAATTTAAGGTATATATAAAAGTGTCAGTCTTTACGGAACATTTTCAAAAGTTTATTTGAAAAAGTTAATTTTTTGTAAAAAAGTTACCATTTTGAAACCCTTCCTGTGGGCTGGTAAAGGGTCAAATATTCACAAAAGTATACAAAATGATAGGTAAATACTTCAGATATCTATAAAAAAAAAATTATATTGATTCGGTCATTTTAAAAAAAGTTATAGTAGTTTTAAGCAACGAAATTGAAAAAATGTCGAAAATTAGTGATTTTTAAATATGTAATTTTTTGGGGGATATTCCCCGTTTACGGCGAACGAGGGAATGTTTTTCAATTTTTGAGGGTAATGTCTTCAACTAGATACGATTTGTGATCTTTTGACGTATTGTTGAAAGAAATCGGTCCAATGAGAGCTGAGAAAAAGTGGCAACAGACACAAAAAAAAAATAATAAAAAAAAAAAACACATCATAATAAAATTAATACCTTATCAGCTTCGCATCGAAGCTAACATATTTTTTTTACAAATTTTTATATATAGGTAAGGATTAATATTAAAATATATCATTAGCTCCCCAATATTTTTATTCTATATCTGCCTATTGAAGTATGCATAATTATACATAGATTTATTATATATATAATCATAAATATTATTTAAAGATCTCAAATCGTTATTCATTATCATTTAAAATCAGCTCATTTTATAAAATTAAAGAAGTACACAGATTATAATGAGATTTTATAATGCAGTGCTATATTTACAAAATGCAGTCTGGACCACTCCCAATAATATAAAATAGGGAAGCATCTTCAGGAATATTTCGTTTAATACTACCTGAAAGATTCAATTTGAACATTTTTATGACAAAGTATGGTTGTTCTACATAGTTTTATTTTAAAAATCTTTGTTACAATCTAGCATCAATTGTAACTATATCAATTTAATAGAGATAGACAAGCCAGGGATAGTAAAAACCTTAATTGAATTATTTAATAATAATTTTTTTGAATAATAATTTTTCAACATACCTTTTTAAAATATTTTTGACTTTTACAAACAAAAAAGTATGAAACAATAAACAGTTTTCATGATAATATCCAAATATTTTATAAAAAGGGTTAAATATTTTGAATTTCAACTAATTATTATATGAGAGCAGATTAAATTCCTTATGTGACCATATCACACACACAATCGAAAAGTGCAACAGCGTAGGGCATTAAAATTAAAAGAACGCATAAGAGGCGTCAAAATTAGGAGGATAACGCAAAAATAATTTCAGCACATGGTGCTAAAGAGCAAAGCTGACTACGGCTGATGATGAAGATTTAAGATTAGAATTTAAATTTTATTTCATAAATTTAGAATGAAAATATGATAAAATACATTTAAACGTATACATTCTATATACGTTGTACATATATACTAGTAGATAAACTTTTAAAAATATATACTACTGCATTCAACACAGACATCACAATTATTCACAAACTATATCGACAACAGTTAACTAAATATATATATTTTAAATATCTTTGTACACGTGATCATGACAAAAAGTTCAAATATTTATTGGACAAAATTAATGCATTTTTCAAAATTAATTTTTGATATTTTTTAAAAATTATTATATAAAAATGATTGTTAAATGATAATAGTTATCAGTGAGATTTAAATAGTTTTAATTACATCAAGCTATTTTATTTCAATTAACACTATTTACACGTCTGTAGTGTTCTTGTTTAAAAAAATTGACTAAACGTATAAACAATATTTAAGCATCACTGTTTTTTGGAAAAATTATTTAAAAATTTTAAATTATTTGCAAAAAAAATTTCCTGACATTATTTTTTTAAGACACTCTTAAAATACTTATTATTTTTCTATTTTTATGAATTAAAAATTATTTTAACTTAAAAGTATTTATAAACTGTTTAATTAAGTAAACTGATTTCCAAAAAACAGGGTTTGATATAACTTGATGGAAAAAACTTAAATATCATAAACAAACTGATTAAATAAACCTACTTGTGATCTTTTAAAAGAAGTTTTTTTATGAAATCCTTGGCATCATTAGATATAGAATCAAATGCTTCATCATCAAAATCATATTGGGCAATTGTGACGTTTGCCATAGTTTCCACGTCAGTTTCTCCCATAAATGGTGATAAACCTGATAGCCTATTATTAAATAAAAAATAGAAGAATTATACCTTGGATTTAGGAGGGCTGTAAATTATTAATATACCTTATATAGATATCTACACAAAGTAATGCAAGATGGTTGTATTTCTCAACTTTAAACTTAAATAGTTAATGTAAAATTTATGATTTCTCTCAATAAGCTTTTAAATAGTTTTTTTAAAATTGGTCTACTTGTTTTTTAAAAAAAGAAAACTACTCATATGTAGCAAGTTGGGCTTAGATTTTTAAATAATAAATACTTATGTTTAGTAAATTATTTATAAAATATTATAAAAAAATACTGCAAAATATATTTTAAGTACCAAAATTTATAAAATACAGAAAGAAATTACTTACAATACATAGCATATTACGCCAACGGACCACATATCTGTGCCAAACCCAATAGCATCAAAGTTAACTACTTCAGGTGCTACAAATTCCGGCGTACCAAAAAGAACTTGAAGTTTATGTTGTGGATTAAATTTTCTCGCTAAGCCAAAATCAATAATTTTTATACGATTGCCAGTTTTTGTTAGGCATAATATATTTTCAGGCTGTAATAAAAATAATTATTAAAATTTAATTCCATAAGGGCGTTATTTACAGAGAATATTTCTATTAATAAAGCTGTTCAGTGAACATTTTTTATAGTCTAGTTTTTTTATTTAATTACTGGACGATCACCTAGTTGATAAAATAACTTTTTTTAAAAAGTATCAACTTTTTAAATGAAAAAAAAAAAGTCACCCAGTCAAAATTCTTTAAAATATTATCAGGTCATTTGAGGAAGAAAATTAAATACCCCGCCAGTAAGTTTAAAGTAATTTTTTTTTAATATGATGATACAAAGACTAGATCGAAAAGGTACTTTACGACTATAGTGAAATTTTTTATCTTAATTTGACCTATTATCATATCATGGTTATTCCATGTCAAATAATCTAAATGTGAGCTAATTTTTTAGACTTTTTTGAAAATTTGATAATATTTAAGACAAGGTTAATAATACCAAAGAAACACTTTTTTTAATAGATTTTCTTGACCTAGACATTTCGACAATGTAAAATTATATGTAAAAAAACTACCACTTTACAGTTCTATAAACTTGGATGCTGTGCCAAAAATTATGAACTTTATACTCGTATAACTTCGGTGACCATAAATAAATTTTATAGGAGCTTCTATAAGTATTTCGGAGTATGATAAACATTTGGTATTAAAAGTTACAAATTTAAAATTTGACGAATTCCATTGTTCCAAAACTTTCTTACCAACTTTATTTTTATAGATGTTTAGTGTACATTTTCCCTTTATGAGACTATGGTGTTTTAAATTAGAGGATGAAAATAATATTGTTGTCAAATATATAACTTAATATACCAATAAATATTGTTGATTGATTCAAACCAGATAAATTTAACTATAGTCTTTTATTGAATATTTAGTCTTAGATGAAGTCACATAATGCACAATCATATTATCAAAATATCTTATCGTGATTTATTATTATTTGTATTGTTATTTTATAGTTCTTATATAGCATCTTGAATTTAATTAGATCTAAGTATTTTGATTTTAAATTTCCTTGTGTCATAGTAGTTTAAATATTTGTTGACGTGGTTTGTAATTGAAGATATGTGCGTAATTCTATTATTCTTTTATTTTCCAGATTTATTTATTTATATGTAAAATATGGATTATTGTACTGGAATAATTAAAAAAGAAGTATGTCAAAAAAATTCCTATGGATAGGCAGATAATATGATGTTTAACATTAAATATTTATCTGCTGAAAACCAGCATTTAATCGACTTTTTTATTAATTCGTCCAAATCATTAAGTAACACAAAATGGCACTTAAACAATTATTTTTCATTATTTAGTAGATCCTGTTATAATATTTTTAATTAAGACAAAACATCTATTTAGAAAGTCTTTGGAAAAATAAATAAAAATATTGTTCAAAAATATCCTAATTTTAAAATGTTCTAGTAAGGCGTTAAAGAAGATGTTTTTTTAAAATATTACACAATTCGACTGCTAATTTAAATACGAATAGTGGTAGTATTGCACTTTTGAAAGCTACAAGATAATATTGAAATTTTGAATACTAATAACTCGACGTTCTGATATTGTACAAAAAAAGTAGATTATTTAAGCTAAACTGTAAAAAGTAAACTTAATACATATAAAATTCACATATTCTTCAAAAAAAAAAAAAAAAAATGATCTCAAACACTAAAACTAACGATTATTATGAATTAATTAATAATTTAAAGATTAAATTTAAAAAAATTACTTAAATTGATAAAAAAATAAGAAATTTAAGATTATTACCTAAGTCATGGGCAATTAATAAGATTTGTGAAGAGTTTGGTACTATCAAAATAATTCAATAAACTTATACTTATAAAAAACTCTTGTAAAAATTAAAAAAAAAATTTAATCATGGAAACCAAAGTTTTACAAGTATAAAGTTTAAAATGTAGTTTATGGCAAAACACCAAAGTTTATAGCTCTTCTAAGTAAACAAAGATAATTTTTTTTAATCATAAAAAAAAAAACCCAGCACAGAGGGGTCGCAGCACAGTGGTGACGTGGCATAGATGGATCAAGTATAATGATATCTGACAGTGATTAAAATCACTATCAAAAAAAAACGCTTCGATGCAAATCTCTAGATATTGTTTAATTTTAAAAAATTGGTGAATTATTCCAAAAGCCACATGATCTGCTAGTTCCTTATTAATATCCTGATTAAGATAAAGTATATCGAATGAAAAAGAGATTATTAAAAAATAATATTTCTCATAAAAAAATTGTATTGATCTATACACTTTTCAATATTTCATAGCATTATATAGTTAAAAATGTAAAAAATAAAATCGAGAATTTTCACACAATAATAGCATTCGGTAGCCATTTTCACCGTGAATATAAACTAAAGTCCTAATTTTTTTTTTTGCATAATAAAGTAAATTACATTAGCTTTAATTTAAGATATATATAAAAGTGTCAGACTTTCCGGAACACTTTCAAAATTTAAGTTGAAAAAGTAAATTTTTTTGTAAAAAAGTTGTCAATTTAAATCCCCCC